GTGCGCGGCGGCGTAGTTGCGGTCCAGCGAGCCCTTATGAAATGATTCAATATATGAATGCAAGCCAAGACGACGGGCAATTACCTGACTCTCGTATTGCCATATTAGAAGCATGTATGACGTATAAAACACTAGTTGACCCCGCGTACTTCGTATGGGTTAAAATCATTTGGAAGAAATGACGGACCCGAGTCTACCGTACCAAAACGTCAAATGTTTGCAAGGAAAGAAGATAGAACAGTTTATATGGGAAAATTAAATTGACGTTTTTATTATCTTCCTCGCAACTTTTCCATGTTTTCTCACCTTTTAAACTTTCCCTAGACCTTCACGAACATTTAAAGACCAAGATAAGATTTAAAGACAGTTCAGCCGTTCTCGAGTTTTAGCGAGACTAACGAACAGCAATTGATTTTTATATGTATAGATAATATACTACGACAGTTTTTTGTGCGTGAGCCAATGTTGACAATCCTAGCGCGGCCACCGAACGTAGGTATGCAAAGAGAAGTACATACATGAGATTACCTTCTGTTATGTCTATTTTGTGGATTTATCTTTAGAATCATTTCGCGATCACATTTTCAAAATATCAAGGCATTTTTACACTCTAATTACAACTGACAAATAAAAGTTGCAATGCGTCAGACGACATAATCATAGACGACTGCAGCACGGCCGAACTAATTTAATTAATTTTCCCGAAACTTCTTTTGTGAAAAATATGTTAGCTTTACTCTGACATAACAATTCTTTTTAATTATAGCAAACTGCCATTAAAAATGAAAAACTGTGATAGTTAAAAACTATTCCATTGCAAATACTTATTTCATTAATTTTTATACGGGTAAAAGTGAACCAGTAAAAAAGAGATTCGTGAACAATACCCTCAAGGGGAAATTTTCATTCTGAAGACATTTATGATGAGATGCGTCGAGATAACATTCATCTGAAATAATTTCAACACTTGTACAACCGTCGTTGTAGGTAACTGAGATAGCTCCCGTGTTTTAGCACAAAATAGATATTTAGTCAACCTTACAAAGCTCTGATTCTTAGGTTTATAATGTATTTTTATTATCGATGGATCATTTATCTTCGGTCACATTTATCTTAATTAACAGGTGTCGATACGAAATTCGCAAAAGGAATGAGAAGTACCTACAAAAGAAATACCGATGTCATTAATTTGCTTCAAATAAAAGTATGTATTATTTGTTGTGTAGCTAATTTTAATGATTAAGTGTGTATTTGATTTCAATAATACAACTACATAAGTTACATAATACTTTAAGTCAGTAAACTAAGTTAATAGATCGCTTTACGATAACTTCAAAGTGGAAAACTTACTTTTATGTAGACGCTCGAGCTTAAAACTACAGTGCGGAAAATATTTAGTTGATGATTTAAAAGAACCTACCTGTAAGTGAAGCTTCATCTGCATGGTTGAATTGGTTTTCCATACAAGCTTCCATCCAACTTTGTTTGTTGTTCCAAAAGTCATTTTGTATAATACAAGCCTGAGAACAAAAACTATAGTCTACACTACAACTATACACCGGAGCGAAGTGAGGGCGGGCCTCTAGTTTATAATATTGGTAGGAAATATTAGTTTCCTACATTTTGGCTGCACTTAAATGACCTTAGAAGATAATTGCTGAATATTTTTTTCTGAATTGTTTGCGCGGAGGACGCTACGTAATGATGTCGATTTAGTTTAGTTCTTTTCATTGTAAAATATTATGGTTATATTACATGTGCAAGATAAGGATCTAAAACCTACTTATTCTGGTACTAAAAGACATTGCAAAAGGTGTACTGTAGTAAAAGTAAAAATTTAATCATTCAATTATCTACACCTATGTCAGTCTGGCATAGCGATCTACATTGTGAACAGAGTCTCTGCTTTCAAGAGTTCACATTAGGTAGTGTTACATAATGGATATTGGACGTGACACCGCTGGTGAGGATCATTTTTTTTTATTCACCTCTCGTCCGTCGTTTGGTGTGCTACAAATTTCGCATTTCGCGTTGCGAAACTCGTAGTCCGCCTCGCAGGCATTATCTCTATTGACGTATAATGACCCGCCATTCTGAGACTGAATAAAACTTTTGAACGCTAATGGCAAAAAGAAGCAACTCCAAAAATCTAACGCCACACTTAGAGAAGTCAATTATTATTTATTATCTTTGCAACTTGACTAAAGTTGACGCTGTCACTTTCTTTGCGATAACAATAAAATGAGACAACACATGACGTATTAAATAAAGTTTTCGTTCATGTTTTGTTTTTTTTTTCAATGAAATTAGGTGTGTAAAGGAGATTGCTCAAATTGGCCCCAATACACAAAAAAATATTGACATATACGGTAATTCTTGGCATAATTTATACTTTATTTTACAGTCATTAGATTTCAACGGACACCTTTGTATAATAAATTCATTTTTAAAAGGACTTTTAATTTTACCGGTTTGGAAAACATACGAATCATTTTTAATGGCTATGGGTGTAGTAACATTCAGCCAAAGACTGATCGAAGTTGTTTAAATAACATAAAATCAAATCTATTTTGTAAAGATCGATAAAATAAAACATTTTTTTTATTACTCTGTGGTATTAATATCCACAACTATATTATCATTTTCACTACATGCAAATGTGCTAAGACAATTATTATAGATGGTAGGCGACATCATAAAGTCTATTGCCATACATTTTTCGCGAAACACCTCCATAAACACACAAGGTGTGATACACTAAAAAACTAAAATATGGTTATAATATAAACATAACAAAAAAAAATGAAGCTGCTAAAGATATGGCTGCATAACCTAAATCTATTAGCTTTTTTTGGTTAACGAGAGTTCAAAAATTCTCTCTAATCTGTGGCTCATTCACAATCATCCAATCATCACGTAGTTTCTGTCACAGAGTACCTTATTATAACCGGAAATGCATAGATGATACCTGATTTTAAAAGTTACTTACATTACTACTTATTTTAATACCTATGTCCCTATTTGCAAACATTACCTCAAAATCGTTCATCGTATATGGTTAATAGAAGTTCTCAGGGGTGTCCGTCAATAATATTCGTTTCTACAGTAACTTATCTCTTATCTATTAGACAAGTCCGTCCGTCTGTCTGTCTGTGGTGCTGTTTCAGCGGCCAATCCGTAAGAGATAGATAAAGAGAATATTTAAGTATTATATATATATATATATATATATATATATATATATATATATATATATATTAAGTTAAGAATAGTCTGATAAGACTACAAACCGGATTTGAGTAACGTAGCACTTCCGGTTTTCGAGAAATCACGAATTTCAAACGAAACCACACAAAATCTCCGAAGTTCTCAATTAATTAAATACATTTTTTTTTTAATCAGGTTTTGGTGAACATTTGGTTCACTGGTTTGCTAGTAGGTATATAATTTCGAATCTAGGAAACAATTTTTCATAATTATTGGTCTTTAGGCCAAACATGTATGGAAGCTGAGCAATCTCCTTTGCTAGCAAAAATATTAATTGACTTAAAACATAATTGTCGTATCGTTATGTATCTTTAATTACAATACGCATTGATTAGTTTCAACAATATTTTGACATGATGAAGCTATTTATTTTAAGTGAAGTGACCAGTCCGTAGCTACCCGGTTTAACCCATTATCTACTTTGTATTTACTATCTGCAAAAAACTTGCAGCCTGTATTTTGCACAAACATTTCCGTCCGCAGACTTACCATAGCATGACCATAGAGTGTAATTACCTACAAAGCAATCATTCGTAAACGGAACCACACATACAAGTACAACGTTTTTCCAAGACTCACTTTCAATAATTGCTTTTAATACCTTTGATTATTGTTAATGAAATAATAGCATGCTTACAATCTGATAGTAACGTGTTGACAATGGAAGTGAGTGTGTTGTTAATTGATTGTTACTAATTATAAATTGAAATACAAAAACAGACGGTAAATTTAATATACAATACACCATTATTAAGTAATCCTGCAGTGGTATTCTCTAAGAACAAACTCACTTTTTACCTTGGAATCTGCGGTGTGATTTTAAAATTACAACACGAATTTCAAATAATTTCGTATCACACCGACGAATTCCGCGTTGAAAAGTGGGTTCGTTTTACAGAATATCAAGGCTGCTATCAAAGAGATTTTTAAATGAGGATTACAAGATCGCTGAAAATACGCTGAGTGTGTAAAAAATATCTAACTTACCAGACTGATGATAAGATAATGAATATCAATATCCATTGTTAATTTTAACTGACCACAGAGGATAGTTAAGTGTGTTTAGAATGAAGTAACTGAATTAGGAAGAACTAATTTATCTAATTGTATAACGTAGGTAATCAACGGTAATTTTACCACGAATTAAATTAAAGCAGAAGCAAGTGCAGTTCAATGGTGTACTTCTAACAACAATTCTCGACCATAGAAATTAAGTATATATTGGTGTCGATTCTATCATGATTCTCTAAACTTTCAACTAAATTCGACAATAGTGTTTTTCAACAAACTTTTCTAAGAAAAGTCTGATGTTAAATTTAGTTTTAAGTTTAGAATCGAATCGAAGAGCCAGAATCGATACCAATATCAGATCCTTCTATAGACAGTTTTACAAAAAAACCATGCACCTTTACCACAATACATTATTTTACCACAAAGAACGTATGTCTCTATTTGCATTGCCTGCCTGCTGCATCAACAAATTTTTGCGAAGAATTTAACGCATTACGGCTATATAATTCTCGCGTTCCTTTCATCATCATGAACCTATTGATCTCCTTTCTGCTGGGGCACAGGCCCTCCCGTAGTCAGAAATTATTCGTATTTGCTATTTGTAAAAACAGATTTTGCAGTTTATCTTCATAGGTATTCTCTTTAAGACCTATTTTTAGCAGTCTCTCCTTGTCATTATAGTGAAGTGCCAGTATAAAGTTGCAAACATTTTGTGCCTACAGATTGGTTTATTCCGAGCCAGGCCGACGACATGGGGCGCTGCTATGGAGGTTCACCCGGTCACCTCCGTTAATGGGTTCGTGCTGACCAACGTTCCACTCGGTGCCAGCACTCTGCCTGGAGGTTGGCTGGCAAGCGCTGGACAGCCGGGCCCTAGCTGTCTATGGCCTTGGGTCGGAGCTGGCACCAGCAACATACAAGCATTTAACTGTTTGAAAATACAACCCACCTGGATGGAGGATAACGCGTAAGCATAGTCCCGTTAAGTACTTCTTAATCCTATACAACCTGCTTGGAGGAGGTTGGCTGGCCGAGCCTCAGCTGTTTGTGGACCTAGCGGGTCGGCGACGGCACCAACAACATAGATAATCACATACGTTCAACTGTATGAAAATACAACTCGCCTGGAATGGTAAGCATATTCCCGTAAGAATAAAATTATAAGGTATTTGCACAAATAATCTTAAAATTCTTAATTCAAATTAAGGCTTTTGGCTTACTCGTTAAGTTTAAGACATCCTTCGATCTTCGTTATTTGTTTAAAGTCGAATTGGCAGAACATCGAAGTACTTCAGTATCTGTAAATCTTCCTCCATTAAACGGAGTGATTACTTTCTCAGTGCCTACATCTACAGCTGATAGTCGTCAGTTGACATATAAAGCATTATCTAATGTTTAATAACATGGCGTGGAAACTATTGCCTGCAATAGCTTCCGTAACTGAGTGTACGTCCACACGCAGCGTAACTTGCGTCGCGTAAGAGCGCACGATGCGCGACGCAACTTGCGCAGAGTTTGTATTTTACTGTGGCCGTACTCGCGCAACTTGCGCCCGATTAGGTAATGTAATTAAGTTGTAATCTATTTAATCATTAATAAATATTTCATTGACAGATAAGTAAAATGTCCCTGTGATGTTTATTGGATGTGCACATGTTATTTTTATGTTAAAAGACGGACCATTATACTGTTTGGCACACAAGTGTATGGTCCGCCTCATGGTAAGCGGCCACCATAGCCTATAAACTCTTTCGATACCAAATATATAACTCGCGCCGTTGCCTACCCTGACCCAATCCCCTACCCCGTGGAGCCCTAGAACTTTACTCACAGACAAAAACAAAACACCACCAAAAGGTAGTGTTATTTTACTGTGGTCTTCTGTAAGGTGAAGGTTCTTTTTTTTAAGACGGGCGCTCCAATACGAGCGGGAAACGCGCTCTTCCTCTCTTATATGTTTGCATATAGGTTAATAGGTCACTAAATTATTATTCTATCGCAATATGACAATTCATAATATCGGTCAATAGCGCATTCCATTACATAATACATACAAACATGTGGCATGACAAATAGAAATCTAGAAATATACGTTATCTAAGACACGTTTTGGTTTCGTCATGATAAATATTTCCAAAAAAAATAACAAATAATTTAAAACTGGGATATTATAGCAAATATCTGGCCCATTATCAGGGTTAAAGCTTACCTGCAGAATTCTTTGGATAACCATTGTAGGCAAAGGCAACTTATCTGTAACTAGCCGTGCCCCGCGGTTTCACCCGCGTTTTTCTCGTTTCCGTGGAAATACCGAGATAAAATATTGCCTATATTATAGCCTCCCTCAATAAATGGACTATTGAATATTTAAACAGTTTTCATATCAGATCAGTATTTCCCGAGATTACCGCGTTCATAACAAACAACCAAACTTTTCAGCTTTATAATATTAAGAAAAATATAGATTAAGTTAAATTGGAAATGTATTTAGTATACTCTTCAAAGATCTTATACTTATAATCATCAACAAATATATTTTGAAAAAGATCATACAGGATTTTATGTTGATAAAAAACTCTATGGCCCATAACTCATTAATAGGTACAACATCTTACACACGTGATAACTTTTAAATGAAATATCCGATTGAGATGAAACAAAAAGTATTTTACTTCTATATAAATACTCTTGATAACAAAATGCTTAATTTCGATAAAGATTAATATTACGATACATATTTAACGTAGTTTTTTTTTCTTCAGACGATTTAATAATTATTTTGAACACAAAATCGGTTATTGTGATTAAACCATGATAGCTAGATATATGTTCTTGCGGATTTTTTTGTAGGTCTTAATGGGATCTACAAACCCGTAGTACATTATTTTGTTCTATTGTCAATAGTTTTTGCAGCGCACGCAAAAATAGGTTTTCGGTTTTACACCTTGTGTTACAAAATAGCAATTTTATTACGGATCCCTAATTTTGAAAAAAAAATATAGCCTATAGCCTTCCTCGATAAATGGACTACCTAACACTGAAAGTGTTTACGCCAATAAACCCCAAATGCATGTTAGTAGGTGAAAGTGTTGTTGTCAACGGTCACTAGATGGCGCCATCATTTTGCATAGTGTGATGTCTGAATGGCGATGTTAAGATTCTTACTCGATTATATAAGCCTTAGAAAATAAGGTTTCTTTTCGAATACATTTATTCCTTTGAATTTGAACGGTGGTTTATTTTTATCATACTTGCACCTTTCAAAGATTTTTTGGGATTTAAACAAGGTCCTTCGAGCCGGATTGGCTATCTTGAGAGCGTTGTTAAAGTCCAATTTCGCACCGACGCGGCGGCGGATTGCTGTCTATGGTGTTTTTCCTGGAGTACAAGCCAGGCTTTTCAGAAACCAACACTGGAATTCGGAATAAGAATAACAATACCTACTGGACGAGGAAGAACACAATTTGATGAACTGACAATAGACGGCGCCACTATACTATTGGAACAAATTGGCGGCAAAGGACATTGCTCAGCGTCCATACATGGTTAGCCTAAGAACCAACAATCATGAAATATTATTTTCTAGGTTCAAAGTCTTAAGTAAATGACTGTAAAAACAAAGATTATTGACGGACACTTCTGAGAACTTAAATTATTAGGAATACTAAATTTTTTTTGAGGTTATGTTTAATATTCAATGAAACATAGGTCAACCTATGAATTTAGTATGAACTCAGTATGAAGTGAATTAATATTACAACTAATTCATTTTATTCGGTGCTATTTTAAAGAATAACTATTAGGAAAAACTTGGTTAGGTAGGAATCATGAATAAAATAAAAACTGTAGTTTTGCTTCTTATTTAATGACTATTTTTCACTTAATTGTATCATATTGTTTATTGTATTTATTTGTATATCACATTATATTGTGTAAATATGCAGCGTGAATGTGTATCAGGTGTTCTTGAATAATTTGGCTATTATTATTGATTAGATCCTCTCAGGATGTGGCACAGGTTCACTAGCACTTGGTAATAAGGGCTCTGCTCTTTGGTAATATCGATGGCATATTAGATAACCGATATAGTTAAATTAAAGGAAAAACAATCGCAAATAAACACACACAACAGGTAATCCGAAACGAGAATGCACTTTCCGGTATATTATATACTACTCTTTGGAATGCACGAATGCCACAGGTTACTACAAATGAAAACTGCATGCACCACAACCACAGAGTAAAGAATTTTATGCCGGCCCTTCTCTTGACAACAGTTTGTCCTTGTCATGGTTAGTAAGGAATGAAAAGGACAGACTGATGTCATGTTTTAAAATAGCAAATACGAATAACCAAGTAAAGTGCCGACATTAGGAAGAAAAAGTGTTTTGTTTGCAGCGCTGCCATAGATTATACACATAAAATGGTATTTCTTGTCTCAGATTATTTTTTAACTTTTTAATTTAGCTTACTTAACTGGAAGTGTCCGTCACAATCTAAATACTGATAATTATCGCAAAAAATATACTAAGAATTATCATAAATGCCAAATTGGTGTTGGTTCTTAGGCCAATTTTAACATTGTCCTTTAAAAATTTGGATTTGAGGTGAAGTGACAGTGACAATTGTAAGTACTTTGAACCTTATTTACATAGAACAAGTAACTTAGTGCAAATTAAGAAGATCGTTAATAGAGGAATTTGAACTTTAAACTCAAGAAAAATAATACTTAGCAGTTTTAGAGGATCTTAAGGACTTAGAATAATTTGTTGTTATTTAGCTTGTAGACTTAGAATAGTTTTCTTTAAAAGTAACTGACGGGGAATCCATGCCCGATTTTTAATCGAAGTGTATAAACTTCAAACACTTAGAAAAATTTTAGCGATTTTCTATAGATGTTTCTTTTGTCTGCTTAAGTAGTTAGAATTGTAGATATTTGCTTGTAGTTGGTGTTGTTGTAAAAGTTGTTGCTTTATATTAAGTTATCTGTTTGTTTGGGTCTTCATAGTATTTAAATCTAATCAAAATGGAATCATTAATTAAATTACAAAATGATTGTAAATCAACTATTTCTAAAGCCCAAGTTAACTTTAAAAAAGCTAGCAAGGATCGCATCACGGTCCCTTATGTAGAAACTCGTTTGGAGGCTCTAGAACAGCAATGGAAAAGCTTTTGCGATATTCATCGTCAACTAATATCCGATCATGTCAGTACTGAATTGCAGAGTTCACAATATTGTACCGATAAAATTTATGATAAAACTGAAGAGATATATTTCGATTATAAGGTTTTATTAAAAGAATGTTTACATAAACTTTTAAGTGGTAGTCGTAATGCGGAAACTGCCAAGGCAGTTGAGATTCCTAAGTCTGATAAATCCTCTCACGTTAAATTACCAAGGATCTCAATTCCTACGTTTTCTGGACTTTATATAGAATGGGCTTCTTTCAGAGACTTGTTTATCTCACTTATCCACAAGAATGATTCATTGGATGAAGTACAAAAACTTCACTATTTAAAAAGCCATTTGACAGGTGAAGCAGAAAGTCTTTTACGTCATGTACCAATCACTTCTGCCAACTATCAAACTTGCTGGAATCAATTAAAACATAGATATGATAGTAAAAAGTTTTTATCTGATAATATATTAAAGCGGTTTATGGGCATTAAGCCACTACAAGTTGAGTCATCTATTGCTATTAAATCTATGTTAGACACTACCAATGAATGCTTACATGCTCTTAATTCACTTGGAATCAATACTAGCACATGGGATGTCATTGTAATCCATATCATTAGTCAAAAATTAGATACAGAGTCCAGAAAATTGTGGGAAGCAAGGGCAAACGAATCGTTTGACAAGTTGCCTACTCTTGAAATGTTCAATGATTTTATGGAGCATAGATTCCGGTCCCTTGAATTTTTAACGCCCAGAGCAGGTAAGCCTGTTGCAGGTCGTACTACCAC